TATCAAAAAATCCCCAATTGTAATCCTTTTGTGTACCGGCTTGATTTCTGCACAATAGCTTTGTTACGGCTGACAATTTCAGACGTGAGGGGCTCAAATTACGGTATTTTGGGAGCTATTATAGAAGAGTTGTATGAAGCGTTCTGAGAAGGCTAAGGCCTGCCGTTCTCTACATTATTCATGCTTACAGAGAGCGAGATCCGAGCGAGTCGTTGGCGAACCCGCCTCTTTCGTAGTTGTCCCATAGTCACACATTCTTTGTATAAAATTTTTTAGCTCTGCATATCAGCAATGCACATTGGGCAGCATAAAAAAGCTTAAGACATTCACAGAAATCTGATAAATATCATATATTTATTTTAGATTTATAGTCAATAGCTGTATAGCGTACATTGCTATCGAATAGGACGTCACAACGATGGTGACTACTTGGGCAATTCTAATTATAGTTGCGGATCGATGGGTCAATGCATTGATCAACAAGAATCACGCGAAAATGAGAAACACCGGTCGTCAGATCTCCAAAAACTAAACAATAATCACCCGATACGATAAGGGAAGGACTAGGCGCTAAGTGAATCATCATAGTAGAGGCGATTAGAATAGAAACCAATTGAAAGAGACGGAAAATGATGAACATGCAAGATCCTGATTAGTAGTTGTAACATTAAGTGAGAATGAATGGGCAAGTAAGTGAACAGCATAACGAGTTAAGTGATAAATTATGGCTGAAATGCCTGATAGAGCAAAGGAATGATATGAGCTTTGATGAAATCTGGTGGAGCAACGATAGTAGTATACTCAGGCAGTTGGAGATTGCGGGGCTTTTCCTAGATCCTTGTCTTTGCCGAAATCGCCCACATTCTGGTAATTCTTGGTGTTTGAATCCTGCATTTATCCGGAAGGTGCAATTCAGGACCAAGAACCCTCGTCAACCCAAACGAGTCAACCACACCATTAGAGTTGAAATCGCACGAAAAGCTTCAAAAATGCCGTTTCATATGAAGACTCAGGTGATCGCTACGCGAGAATGCTCTTGAACATTGAGCACATTTAAAAGGTCGATCGCCGGTATGTTTACGGTAATGTCGCGTGAGCTCGTCTGATCTAGCAAATCGCCATTCGCATCCAGGCCAAGGGCATGAATAGGGCTTTTCACCTAGAAGATATAATGAAGATTGCGTGTCACGATAGCCTTAGGAACCCCCTTGAAATGCTAGCACTTACCGGTATGTGTCCGATAATGAGCCTTGAGGTGACTACTTTTTGTGTACACCTTTCCACAGTGTGGATGGGTGCAGTGATGTAGACGCCGATCTCTGGGCGATTCAGAGTCCGCGTGTGAAGATGAAGGCGATGGCTCGCACATGTCATCTACTGCTGCAGAATCCTGAAGTGTAAGATACGATGTAAGTAACTCACCAGATGACTTTCATGTAAATGAAATCAGGTTTTTTCCTTACCTGACTTTCTTCCTCCATTTTTGCCATGTCCAGTTCACCTTTTGCATCAGCCATCAACTGTTGGAAGACGTCCAGCTGCCTTTTTACGGCCTCTATTTGATCACGAATTTTGTCTGGATTAATGGTTCCGCTTGCATCCGGAATCACAGCCCTGCAGGATGCTGCCTTAATCGGAAAATTCTCAGATCCCAAACGAAACAGAATTTTAGTAAATATATCTGTAGAAGGTATC